CCTCGTAAGGCTGACACCAACTCTATCTCTCCCGCCCCCCCGCCCTTGTTTGCACGCCTCTTGAATTTCTCTGCTAGCCCATTTTAGTGGTGCAGTCGTTGCAGATTGATGGCATTGTTTCCTGTAGGAAAAAAAAAGAGTTTACTTGAGTTGGGAAAGAAAAATGTCAATATTTTCCTCCCCAAAATGAGAACTTGTTGGTTCTACTGGCATGTCAGACCCAACCCTGACCTAGCTTTTGATAACGCAAAGTCACCCCCCATCTGCTCCAGCTGAGCAGAATGAGTTCATCCTTAGCATCACAGTAGGGTTATATTTTTTTTTGTTGAGATCTTGTAGGAAGTGAGACCCCGTTTAACCACTTCTGTCAAGAGAGGTCTTTGTCAGGCTTTCATTCCCCAGCTAATCCCCTAGATTACCTGAACCAGTTCCTTTGGAGCTGGGGTGAGGTGCCTGGTTTTTTATCTTCAGCCCTGAGTGGGGGAGAAGGATGGGCCATTCTTGTATTCTCCTAGAAGGCTAGGTTTGGTTGATTCCTGCCACACCTAGTGAGTAATGCGCTCTGTATGCAGTTCTTCTTTCCTCCATCCTCTGGCTGGCAATAAACTGAAATCCTCTGGCCAGAAGTTTTGGATCTCTCTGCTTCCCATCGCCAGGCTTTTGTTCCACCTGGTTTAAGAGTTTTGGAAAGTTCAGAACTTGCTCCCTGACTGTGGATTGTGTTCTGGCCTGGTCCCATAGATCGTTCTGCCCAATTATGGATCTGGTCTTCTTCTTCCTCCTAGATGGCACCTTCTCTCTCTTTCTCCACCACCTTCCACTTATAAGAATGGCAACACTAAGAAGGGTTTGTGAGCATGCTCCCCCCACCTCCTCTGATGCCATGCCTTTTCAATTGGAAGCTCAGAACTGGCTCCTGATCCTTGTTAAGCTGTTCTGAAAGCCTTTCCTGGCTACAGCGTGGGGTTAAAAGTACTTCAGCGAAAAATGAAATCAGGCTGCCAGAGTCCCCGAAGAGCTACTGCCAGCTCACGATTTACAATGTAAATGGGAACAAATGCTTGCAGGAGAACAAACAGTACTCAGTTCTGATGCGGCTTCCTTGTTGAAACGTTCTCCTGCCTTCTGTGAATTGGTTGAGGACAACCTCAGCTCAGCAAGGGGCAGATTTCATGTTGTGTCAAAAAGGTATGCGCAAAACACAGGTCCTGTGGACCAGCTTGGCACCGGTTTGCAGATTTAGATTTACAGGGAAATATTTTTGTGGTTTGTGGGTGAGCATTTTCCACAAAGTTTCTGTCTCCACACACTTGGTGGTCTACAACGGGCATAGTTTGTTGCTTTGGCCAGAGGTGCTCTGAGTGTTTTTGTTCAGCTGTTTCCCCCACCTCCCTTCCCCTCCCTCTTCCCCCAGTGGGGACTTCAGTGTCCTTCCCTGAAAAAAAAATCCAGCTGAGTCTTTTTTTTCCTGCTTTGAACGTTGAGAAGGCGATGGTTTGTACTCTTGATGTTGCACACCAAATCATTGTGAGAATCAAGCTTTTTAAGGGACAGAAAATCTTTGAAAGTGCCCATCAGTACGTAACTGCAGAGTCAGCCATATGTTCAGACACTGTGTTAAGCTTTGGATTATAGCCCTTTTAACTATGGTTAACTGCATATGCCACAGTTGGCTGGGTTCACACAACAACCTAAACCCTAAATCAAGAGGTGGTGGTCTTTTGTTGTCTTAGTCTATGATCATTATAAACTCTGTCATATCCATCCATCCATCCATCCATCCATCCATCCATCCATCCATCCCTATCTATCTATCTATCTATCTATCTATCTATCTATCTATCATCCATCCATCCATCCATCCATCCATCCATCCATCCATCCATCCATCTCTGTCTATATCTCCCTTTACTTGTGAGCAAAATCTTCTCATCAGCCTGGCTAGCAGCAAGGGATTGTGGGACTTGTAGTCCAACCCCTTCTGGGAAGTATCTGCCGGGAAAAAGCTGGTATAGAACCAGACAACCTGAAAAAAATGTGCAGGTAGTCCTTGTTTAGTGACCACAATTGGGACTGGCAACTCGGTCGTTAAGCAAAGTGGTTGCTAAATGAAAGCAGGATTGTGCTTATGTTTTTACTTCAGCTTTCCTTTGCTTTACAGACCTGTGAAGGCCATCTATGTGAGAATGGGTTGCAAAGTTACTTTTTCATCACTGTTGTAACTGTGAACGGTCGCTAAACAAGGCAGTCACTAAGCAAGGCCTACCTGTATTTACTCCATAGCTACATCCTGGATTCCCCTCCCCAACTCACAGGCCTGCACATGAGCAGCCCTCTGCATTTGTGAAAAAAAACAAGATTAAGAACAAAAGTATTTATAAAAGTATTAAAGTGACACGTTTCATTTAACATAGTCTCAAAACAAAGCTGTGGAACAATTTCCATTTCTGTGTAGACCCCAGGTGCGATGAGGCCAGTCCCTCTTAGCGGGCTACACCTGGAGAGATGCTTTTGCAGAAGATGAGGGGCAATTAAGACAGGCAGAGGAACTGTTACCATCCTGGTTGGAATCAAGACCTGCAAAGAAGAAACCGGGAAGCAAAGTTTAAAATCAGATGTAAATCCAGGAGCAGCAGAATTATCTTCAGATCAGTGTTCCTCAACCTTGGCGACTTGAAGATGTGTGGACTTCAACTCCCAGAATTTCTAGCCAGCAAAATCTGGAACGGGGAAGATTGAGATATACACAAACAGCTCACAG